AAAATTCATGCTATACGTACAACTAAAAAAAGATTCTGTATTTCCATAAGTGGGGTAAAACTATGGACATAAAAAACAGTAAGAGAATTGATGAGTTTAAACACAAATATAAAGGTACGTGTCAATCAAGATATGGGCAAGAACAGGCTTAACGATTAATCAGGTGTAACATTGTGAGTGTGGTGTTTTAGTATATCACTAGCGTGGTGCAGAACAAAATTATCTATGTAGTAATACTGCTTGCAAACCAATGATGATAAGATGATGTTAGGGGGTAGGACTAGATAAGCCTAACTTCGTCCTACTCCGTTCAAGCATGTACTAGGTATAAGCAAATTGATAATATACTTGTGGATATGTGTGGAATTATGTGTGTTGACATATTGACTGTTGTTACATGTTTGAAAGAATAAATCAAATCAAATCAAATCAAATAATGTCCTGCTGTATTGTTTTCAATGTGATACAGGACACAGATGATTTATAATTCACTTTTCAGTTTTAATTTTGATTTTACATACTGTCCCAACATTTCCTGATCTGGGGTTGTGCTATGCAAAAGGAACAAAATGTGCTCAGCTGTGTGTTGACATCTCACTGGCGCCAGATAATGAGCTGAGTGCGTAACACTGAGACAAGAGGAGGCTCAGGCAGGAAACATTAACATTCATATGGTGGAGGAGTAAATGGGCAGAGCAGAGGATCCTGAGCTAAGAACCTCAACACACACACACACACACACACACACGCGCGCGCGCGCGCACACGCACACTCACACGCAGGTCTTACCTCCTATGAGCATGGTGCAGATGGAGAAGATCTTCTCAGAGTCCGTGTTGGCTGACACGTTTCCAAACCCCACACTGGTGAGACTGCTCAGAGCAAAGTAGAGAGACGTCACGTAGCTGCTACGCATCGAGGGGCCGCCGCCCAGCATCCCAACGCTCCCACCCCCAGTGCCCGTCCCTGATGCTGCCTCTCCCCCCGACATGTTTCTGTAATACTGGCTGGAGTTCCAGGAGCTCTGCCCTGTGACCTCTGACCCTGACATGTTCCACTGGCTGCTGTTTGCTGGGACGCTGACTGTGGCAGGGACCAACGTTGTCAGGGGGGATGGGAAGTAGGGGGTACCCAGACGCTTGGCCAGCTCATGGAGCCAACCTGAGAGACACAGATAAAGAAATGAGTTAAGAAAATTTCTCATTATCTGTCATTACCCATGGGGAAAAAGCATCTTACAGTAATTACAAAGAAAATGTGCCATCCTGTACAGAAGATCCAGTGTGGGAAAATTACTTTATAGCATGGAGTGCTGTTTATTTGCTGATCTTCATCAATTGAAAACAACTCGAAACAGCTGAAATCTACAGGTGCAGACCCACCAGGTTACCAAGTAGAGCTGATGTACAGCAGCTCAGAAAGACAAAGAAAACTGTTCTGCTTGTCTGTTTTTAGCCCTGGAGCATGTGCAGCCTTCTCTGCGACACAGTATCTTAGACACAAAACAACTCTCATGAAAAAAGCCCACCCCCAGACCCAGAAACCATGAATCCAGAAGTGCAAACAAGCCCTCTCATCTAGGTATCTAGAGACAATACAAATGTGCTCGCTCCCCACCTCGTGACCTACTCCTGGTGTGTTTTGTGAAAGTGGTTTTAACTTAATTTCACAGGAAATTCAGCTGCAGAGAAAAGAATGAGGAAAAGAAACAATAGGGGTTATTGACCAAGGAAGGAAGGGTAGGAAGTAGGAAGTGAAGGAGGAAGGATAAATTATTGAGGACCAGTGTTTGAGAGTGGGCAAGTGGAGTAATGAAAGCCCAGCTCAGCCACTGGCAGCAGAATCAGAAAGACTGCAAGAGAGGGAATATGAATAATACACTATGGAAGCACCCAGTGATTGATCTCCAGCATCACACTCCAAGCAAGCAGCTTTGACCTTGTGCGTGTGTGTGTGTATGTGTGTGTGTGTGTGTGTGTGTGTGTGTGTGTGAGGGTTCAGTGAAGCCAACCTCCCAGAATAAACAAGCAGAGGTGACAATCAAGCTGTGAGCAGACTCCCAGTCTGGCAGGCAAACCAACAACATTAGAGGATTTAACACCTGAGTAGTTTCCTAATTACACTGTCATTAGCACAACTTAACCTCTGGCATCCTGAGGAAACGTAGACCCCACGGAGATGTTGTACTGCATGTCTGTGAGTGTGGAGCAGAATATAAACAAGAAAAATTTGTTTGTTGTGTTGTCAAGGGGTTAGGGAACATGGAGGGCATTTCTGATGTCTGTAAGATCATGCTGTGGTGACGTTTCTGAAGGCACACATCACTCAAAATAAGGTACTGGTCCATTTTATGGTATAATTTGTATGAATGCAATTTAGACTCTGAGGGCAGGATGTTTTGTGTATTATGACAGTTCCCATGTGGCCTCATTTTGCAAAGAGTGAAATGAATGAACTATACCCAAGAAATTCATTTCAGTCATCAGACAAAAATGTTGTACATATTTACAATGTGACCAAAACAACAAGATAAATTGACACAATAATTTTGTATCACATGTATAGTGTTGCTCTATGATAGACTGGCGACCTGTCCGGGGCATACCCCGCCTCTTCAGTTATCCAAACTAGATTTCGCCTTAGAGCAGCTTTGCTGGGGCTCAACCCCTGCAGTAGATTGCCCAGCACCGAGAACACAGGTAAACGGCAAAGCCAAAGTTTTCTACACAGGATGATGAAACTCTTTCCATAGGTTACTAGAACAATTTAAATTTCACTATACACTGTCAAAAACATCCTGTTCGGTCTCTGGACATTGCATCAGATGCTTGAGAGCCACATGTGGTTGCAGCACACCGAGCTCAAGAACCGTGTGAAACGGAGGCATTGAGCTGAGGGAAAGTTGTGCGCCAACAGAGAACTGGGGACCCACACCGTTGCCTTTGTTTTGCATTGGTCAGGTTATTTTGGTTGGATTGAACTCAAAGCTGCTCTACAACAGCAAGAACAGACCTCTCTCCAGTACTGGATGGCGAGCCCTGCCCAAGGAATCGAACAAAGTGGTATATCTGGGGTTGTTTTACTGGGCTGACAGCTCGTCTCTCTAGAAGCCACTACAGCTGCTGCTGAAATGTGGATTTTCTGGCTCTAAACTACTGTAAACAAGACAAGCGGTAAACCTAACACCCTGCATCACATATTCCATGTCCAGTTCAGCTGAATGTGGCTGGTGTGTGTGTGTTGCTACTCTACAAGGGACTGTTGGGACGACCATGACTCCACTGCCCTTGAATTATTAACAAGCATGTAAACAAAACCTGTACGTCTCCAACTCACTGACACACAGACTGACTAGTTCAGCCTAGGTATACCTCAAACCTCTATTGTGGATCACAGGTAGTGTCCCCAAAAGGTTGGACTGCAAACTGGTTTGTGTTGTCCCCTGGATCACCCCCCTGTCTGAATAGTAAACTGAGGGAGCGCCAACATGAATTGACTATAGTGTTACTGTCTGTCATTATGAGGTTTGCTGAAGTGATAATGATGGGTAGTTTGATGAAAATCTGAGGGAGAGAAAATGAGAGAGGGAGAGTGAGACAGCAAGTGATAGAAGATGAGGAAGAATAATAGAATGATATGCCTGATTATGTGTCCCTGCGCCGGGTTCAGAGCTTAGAAAACACACTCATTTGCAGTTGATTATCTGACTCGACAACGTTTGGGTGTGTGTGCATGTTTATGTGGTGCTCAGGTAGAATGAAGCACAGCGATGGCGAGCTTTGCCCCAGTTCACAATAAAAAGGATTAAAGTTGGCTTCCTTGGCAGCTGCCTGTCTCTTTGTGTGTGTGTTCAAGCTAATCAGACTGTGTGCCAGGGTTTCATGTCACCCGCAGGATTTGAGATTCTCCGCTGAGAGATGATTGTGCAATATCAACAAAGCTGCGTCTTATTAAAAGCATCGTCTGTGCTGCAAATTGAGACACATGCGGGTGCCCTTCCCCATGACTGCTTCTGCGTCTTGTCAGATACGTGTGACCTAAGATCTTGCTTTTCAAGTAAGATCAGACACGTGAATAGCTAAAGCTGAACAAGGCAACATTTTTATGAACTAAACCATAAAGTGAGGCTGGAATTAGACTATATCTTATTGAAGATGCATGCTGGAGTCAGCTCACAGTGTTACTGAGAAGAGTGACAGATGTTTGTGTGATTTGCCCAACTGGAATTCTGCCAGGAGATTATGCAGAGTGACAACTACAAACTTGAGTGACATACAGTGGACACTAAAGAGCTCTTCACCCAGAGAAAATGAATCATAAGGCTGCTTCACGGTGGGTGTTTCCACCACACCCACTCCACAGAGACCACATGTAGACCTGAGCAGCTTGGTTTACTGTAATGGGAACATTTTCTTTCCAACAAGTGAATGCTAGTAAGGTTGCTGATGTCTGTACAGTACCTCTGCAAAGGAAGCACTTGGACCCTTTACTTACAGTATCTAACTATGACACTAGGAGATGTAACATATTGGTGAGTGAGCTTTAAGGGTAGATTTATGTTATGCTAAGCTAAACCTTTAGCTTCATATTTATCTCACAGACATGAAAGTGGTTTTAGTCTTCTCATCCAACTCTTAGCAAAATCCCATTTCCCAAAAGTGTTGAACTGTTTCTTTAAGTATCAGTGGCAGTACCACTGTTGCGGGTTCGCGTCACCCTGTCTCGTGGATTTGTGTTTGTTTACCTCGTCTCTCCTTCCTGCTCTGTCACTGTGGTCAGTCATCGTTTCACTCACCTGCTGCTTGTTATCTCCTGGTCCCGTCATGTACATATACACCTCGTTTTCTGCTGATTCGCTGCTGGTTCATACCAATGTCAGACCCGGACATTCACACCTCAGTCTTCGCCCAGCTCATGCTGTTTGCTACCGATCTTCTACGCTGTTTCACCCCATGTTTGCTCCACGTTTCCCAGTTTGTTTTTTGATATGTTCTGCTCCAAGTATTTAGGTTTGGTTTGAGTACTCGCCGCCTCTGCGTTTGCGGTGCGCTACTTCTCTGTGTACCTGCGGACTGCAGCCCTGCTAACTTGATTGCCATGGTTACTGCTACTCGTCTATCTACTCATATGTCATCCTGGTCTCCTGCTCGTCTTCTGGTTCCTGTGTCCCTCCTGCTGCCGGCTCTCCTGGTTCTTCGTCCTCCTGGTCTCCTCCTGGTCTCCTCCCGGTCTCCTCCCGGTCTCCTCCCGGTCTCCTCGTCTCTCCTGGTCTCCTCCCGGTCTTCTAGTCTCCTCCTGGTTCCTCGTCTTGCCTGTCATTGGTTGCTCCCTGCCTGCTCAGAGCCTGCTCATCTTCCTGCCATCCAGCATAACCTGTGTTTGTTCAATAAACTGCTTTCTTTAGTCTGTGTCTGCTATTGGGGTCCACACCATACCACGCCACCTGCCATAACAACCACAGTTGAAAACTACAAGGAAAAGTCCTGCATTCAAGACACACTTTTAATTTTTTAGCAACAGAATGAGTTTTAAAAGTTACAAATCATGCAAAATAACCATTTTCAGAGATTTATATTAGAAATATTACAAATTTTTTATTATTGGTGCATTAACGTGTAAGTAGCATATCAATGAGGCAAGTGCTTCAGCTGAGGATAATGTAAACTAATGAATCAGGCACACAGCACATCATATTTATAATAATGTTTTGTGAAATTACAGTGCCAGTAACGGAACCTGTCACATAGAGCAAAGAATGTTTTCCTCTGAAATCTAGTGAAGTATCAAGTAGCATAAAACAAAGTATTTGGTTACTTTTCACCACACTCAGCTGGGAAAAAAGTGTCTACTAACCAATATCCCAGGAGCCAGGACTTTCGAGCTCCCTGCGGCCTAAGAAGTACCAGACACAGGCCATCCAGTGGGCCAGCAGGGCGAACATGGACATGAGCAGAGTCAGGACCACAGCGCTGTACTGGGAGTAGCGCTCCAACTTCTGCAGCAGCCGCAGCAGCCGGAGCAGCCGAACCGTCTTCAACAGGTGGACCCCAAAGTACTGCACAAACACAGGCCACACAGGCTTCAGTGTTTCTTAAAGCTAAAGGAGAAAATCTGCAATCCTGCTGCCACTGTGATACCAAAGGATCTAAATTACATGTTCTTTAAAAATGACAGTTTTGTCAGTGTTTTGTTCAAAATGTATTTATTTTATTAGAAATTATAAATGAGTCTTAAAGCTCAGGTTGCATGCATGTGTAGTACGTGGAAGTCATTGAGACCTGCAGCACAGTGTGTGCACTAACATCAGACTAGCTCTGCGTCATTTGTTTGTCTGATGAGCAGAAGTTTGAATGAAACGTTGATGAGCCTGTGACATTATGCACTAATCTCCCCTCTCTCCAAATCTGGCTTGTTGCCATCAACACTGTGTTAATGTGGAAACGGAATGCGCGACACTGAGTGCGTCTGCATTCGTGTGTTTTTCTTTCACAGAAAAAAACCTGATTTGTGACACACTTTTTCACTGTCACATGCTATTTGATAAAGCAAACACAAAAATGTCAACACACAGGCGCACAGTACTGTAACACGCACAGAGGAGACTCACCACGCTGATGTTGAAAGCATACAGCAGGTCAAAGGGCAGGGCGGCAATGAGATCGACAAAGAGCCAGGTGGTGACGTAGTGAACGCAGATGGAGCGGGCATCATACACTACCTGACCGGACGTGCTTACAAAAGTGGTTCGAAAGTTCAGCACAATGTCTGCAGAGGACAACAACAACAGCAGAGGCAGGACAGTATGGGCGTCACTGTTACATGATAACCACACAGCTGAGAACAACATACAAAGCATGACTTCAGAGACTTGACGATAACAGGAGAAGTGGATTTAACTCTACATTATAACTACAAACTGACAGTGGAAGCACCATAGCGTGTGTTTTAACATTCACAAAAACGTGAATACAGAGTTCACGTTCCTAATCCCTTTCACGTGCAATAAATCAAAGTTACTGGTGTCTGGACTCCTTCCTCCTGTTCACCCTAAAACATTTTCTAAAGCATGGTCAAATCAACTGAGCAGCTTTCAAAGTGAACGTGTTTCAGCGTAAGAATCCCTGTGTGTCCCTCTGTGTCAACCTAAGGTGCTGCATTGGCAAAGTGTACGATTACTTTATAGATTAATTTAGAACTTTAGTCAATGAATCAAAGAACCATCAAATAGCAAACCTTTGACAGCCTTCATCTACAGGTATAGTAAGCTGAATGTCTCTGAAGTTTAGAGAGCAGGGTGCACAAAGCACGACACTTCATATCATCACCTTGGAAAATAGGAAATGTCATTTTCTGCTTTATAGACCAAACAATCAATTAAGGAAATAATCAGCACATGAAACTATAATGAAAATAAATGTTAGAAACTGTTTGTCTCAGTGCTTCTGACACTTCAATGCTTCACTTTTCATTTAAAAAACAACTCTGCTTTGTCTGCTGTCATGTTTTCTAAATGGTTGTCTTCTCAAAGCGAAGCAGAAATTTCTTTCACAACTTCACCCACTGCCAAGGTGCATAAAGGAGACAAAACCAGACTGGAAAGGCAAAAAGTCCAGGAATACGGTACAGAGCAACTTTAATGTTAAGACCAGTGTGTTTCAGCTTGTAGCCTTTGTCTGTTAAAAGCATGTAACAAAGAATCATTTAGGTTTTACAGATACAGAAAAAATGATTGGTTGTTTTTAATCACATATACTGTTAATATTTTTTTCCATTTCTGCTTAAATGACTCTTTGTTATGTGATTTTAACAGATCCCTTAAAATTTAAACATTTTCTGTAGCATGTAAAAGTACTTTTAATATTTTAACAGAGGACTATCATTTGTAATGGAGTTTTTCTACAGTGCGATATTAGTATTTATACTTAAGCAAAGGATCTGAATACTTATTTGACCACTGGCTAAGGTTAGTACAGGTGTTTGGGAGGAGAAAGCACAGATCAAACCAATGTTAACACCAGCTTGAACGTGTGTGAACGTGTGCTCAGGCGTGCGTCTTCCAGGACTCTGTTTTAAAAACAGTTACACGGTCTCACCTAAAATAAACAGGATCTCGACTAGGATGTCACTGACGCTGGGCGGGCTTCGAGAGGCGCTGCCAATGCCTTCGTCCCGGCCTCCCACCACTGTGAAGCACACGTTGTAGGGAACGGTGACGGCCACGTAGAAGGTCGCCAGCAGGATCAGCCAGTCCCAGCCGGCCTTGAAGGTACCATAGTGGAGGAGGATGAAGCGAGATTTCTGAATGGCTGCTACCTTGTACTCCGGGATCGGTGGCTTCTCCCCAAACATGTTCTGGATTGGACGAGAGGGAGAGAGGTGTCAATGCCAGAGACTGTTTTACACCTCGGCCTTTCTCCCCGTCCCCAGCCACACACACAGACAGTAACACCTTCTTATACAAACACTTACTGGAGCTCTTTCAGCTTAGACCCTTTGGCAGATCCATCACCACAAACACATGCTGTGTAGACAGGCACTGTGAAAACCCACACACGTTTAACACATAATCTATTTTAGATCCAGAGGTCTCCAACAACACCAAGCCCTGAATTATCCTTTGTAAAAAAAAATCCATATAAAGATGATTCACAGGACATTTATAGATGTACATTTGATGCAACATTGCAGTTGTAGAAACTCTGCCACATTGATTTTAAATGTGTTACAGAACATTTCTGAGTTTCAATGAAGAAAAAGAAGATAGAAATGGTATTAAAAAACCGAGGAAGGTGTTTTTTAAATACCTGTTGTTAAGTTAGGACGAAACCTTTAAAGACAAAAGTGATTAGTGTCAAATGGATAATTGGTACCTGCTTTCACCAGTCCTCAGATTAAGTTAATTTGACTGTCACCCAGATGTTATTTGTCTTTAAAGTTGCTGCATTTCTTGCTTAAAGACATGGCTGCCTGTAAACAGGGCCTGCTTCAGCATGAACACCTCAGAAGAACAGAAAGCAAAGGCAAAAATAAGGAGGTAACACAAATGCAATCCTCATTTAAAACAACAGAGAAATAATAATCCATAATTATGCAAAATCCCTCAGTAAATGAGGATCACACTTGCAGGATGCACAGTGCAGACGTCAGCACAATCTACAGCAGAGGTCTTTTACACTCAAACTCAAACAGAAGGGTGTGATACTCCCACTGACCTGCACATGAGATGATGAATCTGTGGCGTTACTGACCGCAAAGTTAAAAGGTAACACCCAGTCATACCAGTGTGGAGAAGCACAGAGAAACTCACATTGTTGAGCTTGAGCTTGCTCTTGTCCTGTTTCTGCAGGTGTCCTGACAGCTGATAGAGCACAGCTCTGCTGCGGCGCCGGTTGGTGTTGAAGCCCGGAGGGCGGGCTACCCGATGCACCTCCAGACCTGTCTCCTCATCTGCGGGGGAGACGGAAACATCCACAACAAGGAGTTAGAACTGAAACCAGGCTTTGTCTGTCCACCTTTCTTTCTGCCTTTGTGGCTCTTTGTTGCCTGAACAAGCTCTGGATAATCTACCACATCTACAACATCTCAACCTTTCTGTCATTTATTGAATAACAAAGGGTAAGATCAGCATCACTGCGGGCAAAGCAGAGTACAGGAAATAAAATGATCTCTCAGAAGCATCGAAAGGCCAGTAGGAGTCGTTTACTGTTGGGCCATTCTCAGGCAGAACGTCTGTCCTTGTTCTCTCCGTTACTGCTTTACATTTCCTGTTATGATTGTTCCTCTGTCTGTCCATATCATGTCTGGCAAATACCCACCGCTGTAACCAAATCATCTTTATTTTCAGCCACTAAATTTGATTTGTTCGTTCTATCTAGGAACGGATTTCAAACAGCTGGTGTACAGAAGAAGCATCTGTCAGTCACTCTCTCCGTGTATGGGGGTTATTCTCAGGACCATCACTACGAACAGACATGTGGTATAAACAAGGTGTGTGACAGTGTCATACAGTGTCTACAGGAGCACCTGCTTTGGCAGATGTACACAGGCCATGTGCTGGTTGTGTAACCCGTAAGGTTCAGTACTGAGCATTTGCCTGGGAAGTTTTAAACGAGAGAAACCAGGGATGGCACTGGAGAGGGAGCCGTTTTCTGCTAAACGACATTCAAGCACTCATTACGTTATCAGTGGGGCTGATGGAATAATTTTACAACTGGCGACAGAAACCTCTACTTCCTGTAAAGCAGGGCATCTTCAGTGATGACTCATTCTGCTCTAGCTGCACCTGAAAATGCAATAAGGTCGTCACAAACACCAGCTTTTCTGTCTGTGTTATCAAATAAGGCCATATATTCTCTAACTGATATTGTAACCATTGGTTTCCGCTTGGAACTGAGCCCCAGCTGCCAGGGCCCAACAGTAAACACCATATTAAATGATAGATGTTTCTGTCTTAAAACAATGGTCAGGTCATCTATCTGAAGCCATCCGAGTTAAACATTCATTCATTTTCTACTGTTTAGTCCCTGAACAGGGTCACGGGGGGGGGGGGGCCCGACACAGACTGTGGGAGGAAGCTGGAGTACCCGGAGAGAACCCACGCAAGCACAGGGAGAACATGCAAACTCCACACAGAAAGGTCCCAGGTGCACAAAAAAGTGGGTGAAACTTCCTAAATAAAGAATAGAACTACTGCTAGCTGACTTTACTGATGTCGTAGAGAGCCCAAACGTTTGCACATGCCACAAGAACAGTTTAACTGTCCTACTGCTTTAAACCTGTTAAATAAAAAGCAACAATGCGTTAAGATTTTTAATGTCTGCTTGCTGCAGGGGTTGTATTAACATCAAAAAGCTTCAAAATGTGGAATTTTGCCTAAACATTTGCACACAACTGTTCATTTTTGCACAAAACTAGGACGATGGATTTTGTCTCCCATCACTTACACTGAAGGACTCTTCGAAAAACAAGTGTCAGTGCAGCAACAGGAGGAAAGACTGCAGCAAGGAAAAGCTGTTTTCAGCTGGTAAAATGCTAAACACGCACTGCTTTAGAGCCAAATGATGATATAGAGACTGTGCACTGCTGCTTCAGAGGTTCCTGCTGGTGTTGCTATTCTGCTGTATTTTTTCCAGGCCGGCCAAAGGAAACTTGACGTCAGGACGTTTTTTGGTATTTTACAGTATACATATATTGATTGATGGTATAATTTACTGTTAGTTAATAGATATGATGCTGTGCCTCTTCTCACCCTGCTACTGTGTTGTTACTGCTGGTTTTCAGAATATACGGCCTGTTCTCAGGGAGGCTGTGTGCGGCAGTGAGGAAAGTGGGCTAGCTACACAATTTAAATTATTAATACAGTCAATTAACAGAGCAGGGGTGTGTTTTGGTGGATAGCAGTGCGTCTCTTCAGCTCCATAAAGCAGCCAAAGTCCCTCTGAATTTTGAACATTGTGTTTTTCTGTCCTTCTAACTCCCCTTCGGTCTCATGAACCCACCGCCTTTTGAAAAGGCACGATGCGTTGAGCTAAGTGTCAAACGTGAGCAATACCGCAGACCCCCGCTGAGGAGGCGAAGCAGGTAAATGAGTTCTAACTCATCACACCATAAATGTCAACATCTTTCCTTTTGTTCACTTTCCACTTGTTTCTTTTTTCTCTGCGCATCCAGGATGTGCTTAAATTAGCTGAAATCAGAAAGTTATATTCTGAGTTATGGTTCGAGTCACGTTGCAGTGAAAAAAACAAACCATTTAAATCCTCTTTTGTCTCTATCCTGCCTTTCCTTTCCATCTGTTTTTTTTTTTATCAGTCCCCTGTGGTGTGCACTGCTCTTCAATTTGGTATGTCAAATTTAAAATGTAATAGCTCATGCAGTGTGTAAGACACAGCCAGTGTATGAAAGCAAGCTTCAATCATTTCAGGGGAAAGGCAATGAGATATTCAGCCAAATGAGAGAGGCTGGGCAAGTGGGGGAAAATTGGGTAAGTGATTTCAAGCAGATGCTCTTTCGCACCAGGAAGCACTGCAGACAGCAGCTCTGAAAGCTAATCTAAAAAAATAGACGCTTAAACACTCCGTTCTTCTCTCCTGCTCCCTCCACAGGGTCAGTATTCAATTTTCTAATTCTCCATCATGGACTCAGCAGGTGCTGGCAACAGGATTTGGAAAGTCAGATCTGAATGTGTGCTGTACCTGAGGACTGGAACACACTGTTCAGTGAAGACAGTCCCTTCAGAGATTCAACACACACCTCTGAGACATCCAAATCTCTTCTTCCAGCTTTGCATGCTGGGATTTGTTTTTACAGAAGTAAGGAAAACAAACCGGTTGAACAAACATCTCTGGGCTGACTTTGGATGGCGGGTCAGTCTAAAGTATTGTATAATATGATAATATTATGATAATGAAACAAACTGCTAATATTTTGGCTTATTGTAAACCTTGTCAGTGATTTGGACTTTCCTTCCGTTTCCTCGTGTCTGTTCACAGCAGATGCTCCTTTCTTCCTTACAGATAATCCTACAGAAATGTTTAAGTCACTGACCAAGTCCTACCAAGTCCAGCTACTTGGCCTAATAATGCCCTGCTGGAGGTGTCTGTGTAACTTACAGTATGTCTGGGTGTGGAAACACACTGTAGAATGTTGACAGATCAAAACATCAAGGGCCCTGCATAACTCTGAGTTTAAAGCCAGAATTCTAGAATGTCAGCATTCCAGACACTTTGTTCTAAGGTGTCATTCATATGAACTCACCTGTGTCAGGTCCTTGCTCAGGGTCCTGCTCCTTCTTCTTGTCAGTGATGTCTTTGTGGGACACCAGGAACAGAACTACTTCCCCCTTCTCATTTTTAATGGGCACAATGTCCAGAAGACACCAGAACTGTGTGCCTGGAGAGAAATGCAAACATGCACAGTTAATTCATCCTTCACACACAAATGTGCACTGATGTACTACCGCGCATACAGCATCAAGGTCAATTCTCATTTCTTAGCACAACCTCTTTCGCTGTCCTGACAAACTATTGCACAGTCTGGTTTTCCAGCTGCACTGTAGTTAAAAAGAGCCCAGTGGATCATCACTTCACCTCTCCCCAACCTGGAGCACATTCATGCAAGTCATGCTCAAGAAACCTTGGGGCTTCATGAAAGTCAATTTGCACCCTGGGCAGGACCATCCTCCATTTTCCCCTCGGGGAAGATCAGGTCATGCATACGCCACCCAGTAGGTTCAAGAGCAGTTTCTTTCCACAAGCCACGGGGGCTCTGATTATATTAAGTCTACATGACAACCTGTTTCTTAAGGGTTGGTACAGTTTTATTGTTTACATGTTGGGTTTTATGTATTGATGTATGGATTTATCTATTGTTGTTATTTATTGATTGATTTACAGGTATTCACTAAGATTTTATTCTGAGCAATTATAGGTAATGTACAGTCAGTTCAGGAGTTTAACATGATTTTAATGTGTTCATTTCCCAGTTCCCAACCACACACTGCTCACACCTCAATGTAAAGGATGTGACCAGCCATATTTAGATGTTATCTGCTCACTGTCATGCTCTCCGCAGCAAGATTATTACTACTTTTTTTAGTGTACCTTCATTTAGTTTGACTGTCTAAATGAGGTTTGAATACTTTTTATTACTCAAAGGCTGTGTGTGTCAGTGATAACACGGCTATAAACATTCCGGTAGAATGTATTGGCTCTAACCAGAGGACATTATGGTACCAGAACCTTTCCATGAGACTACATGTTCTCTTACAGTCACAGCATTCCTCCAGCCTAGATGAAAAGCTGCTTTTTCTGTTCTACCAGTACCACCAGAATTCACTACGTCCCACCCTGCACTAGTGCAGAAGACGTAGATCCAAGTTAAGCTCCACGAGACCACTATACACTACTCACCATATGAGATTCTTCAGACCCTTTTGTTAAGGAAGCTTTGGGGCTCTGATCACAGATGAACATGCATGATTGCAGGGACCTGTCTTCATTGTTATCAAGTCTAGCAGATGTTTAACCTTTGAATTAAATCAGTGTTGCTGCTTTAACACAGCTGTGCGCCATATATTGGTAAAAAGATATGACGCTGTACAACACTACCGCGGTCCGCAAAGGTTTGTAAAATCACGACTTCCAAGAGTCACTTAACGGTGTTTCAGTGCCCTGTCTGGCTGAAGGTCTGGAGTCTGTTTCAGCGGTGATGCCACATGGGCCCTGGAGCACACATCACTGCTGAAAGGTGAGAAGTTAAACCACTGGGGGTTAAGCTGTATATCACTGTGCTTTGAATAAGGTCGCCCTGCTGGCTGGTACATAGATGCATGAAATCAGGCTAAAACAAGCTGTTTAGGTTTTCTGTTACTCACATGTAATCTCTGACTGGTGACACTATGAACTTTATTCTGTCCACTGCATATTGTTTTCTGCAACTAAACCCCAAACAGGGATCAAGCATGTAAATAATATATTCAAACGATCAGGAGGATTAGCTCAATAAAACATCACCCATACTGAGGATGGATTTGACCCTGTTTGACTGGAACATCAGGGTAAACAATAGCTTCTTCTGTTCTGCCTCCTTATGCATAATTAAAGTATATGGGCTTTTACTATGTCAAATACATGTAGATACAGGTGTTATTCTTTTGTGAGCTTTGTTTTTAGCCTATAAGTGTTTACATTTTGGCAAATGCCAACAAATTACCCAAATTAGATGAACGGCTGTGGGTTGTGTGTCACAGACAGAGGAGTGAAAACACTGAGATCAGCTCACACATGAGTTTTAGTAGAAGAATACAGTCTAGTACCAGCGTTATCCTTTAAGAAAAGTTAAGATAGTACTGTATATAAACACTGAGTCAGTGTGACAGTGCTGAAGCTTGCAGAGCAGCTTAACCTCCAGTGGTTTAACGTCTCACCTTTCAGCAGTGATGTGTGCTCCAGGGCCATGTGGCATCACTGCTGAAACAGGCTCCAGCGAGCTGGCTGATGTTCTCACCACCATCTTCAATCTCTCCCTCAGCCAGAGCATCGTCCCCACCTGCTTTAAGACCACAACCATCATCCCCCTTCCCAAGAAGATAGAGCCCGGTCACCTGCCTGAACGACTACAGGCCAGTGGCACTCACCCCAATCATTATGAAGTGTTTTGAGAGAGTGATGCTAGCCCGCATTCAGAGCAGTATACCGGACACCCTGGACCCCCTGCAGTATGCCTACCGGCCCAGTAGGACTCCACTGCCCTCTCTGCAGAGCATCTACTACCGCAGGGTGCGTAGGAAAGCTGCCTCCATCCTCAAGGACCCCACCCACCCCCAGCACGGACTGTTCCTACCCCTGCCCTCTGACCGGAGGTTCAGGAAATGCAGGACTTCTATGCTGAAAAACTCTTTCTTTCCCTCTGCCATCAGACTCCTATAAACAGCTGACTCAGGATCTACCCCATGTAATTCCATCTGTACTGTTTACATTCTCATTTTGCACATGCACAATTGCACACTCCACGGCTCCCATGTAACATATATTCTCTCTGCATTATATTGTGTTCTTGTTGTATTTTATTTGCTTCCTTCAGTTGCTGCTTTAAAGTGCCTTAGATTTGAGTTGCTGCCTATTTACATTTGTGTTACTGCTCATCTACTTTATATTTCACTTGTATTGTGTGGCATTCATGTGGACGGCAAAGAAAGAATTTCATTGTACAGGGAAACACTTTCCTAACTGTGCATATGACAAATAAACACTTTGACCTTTGACCTTTGGATTACCCCAGATTAACTATTAGCAGCTCCTGTTTGGAGCCATGGATGTACAGACAGCTATCACTGGATTACTGTGATACTGAAGAAACCTCAAAATGATAATGAGCTTTAATTCTTGACAAACATCAGAGATGATTATATTCTCTGGAAGTATAAGTCACACAATGATATCAAAGTGATTTTCATATCTCTTTTCAGGTTTTAATGGATTACGACTCCAAGAAGAAGTACAATGTTTGACCCTAATTCACTTCACACAGCATCTTTTCCTCGTGTCTTTCCCTGGGGCTTCAGGCTTTCTCTTCTGACGTTATTAGGAACATCTAGATGTCTATTACAAACCATATCCTGTCATTTCCTGATGATTAAAATCACTTAAATTACCGAGTATTTCACTCCCCACCTGCTCCTATTCTCGTCTAAACGGGGATTTAGATTGGTTTTTACCAAGGTAATTTTATGAAAACTCTCTGTCAGCGGTTTATTACAGAAACTGTGGCATGCGTACTGTTTTCAAAATATGCAAGTCGTTTCTTAAAAAACAAATGACACAATAATTTCCATGGCCAATAATGTGTAAGATTTAGTTTCTTTACATGTACAAAAGCTGCTGCTTTTTCTGCATTGTTTGCACAGTTTGTTGATGTTAATACTGCTATTTTGTTATATTACTCAGCCTTATGCTAGTTTACTGTTTGCACATTGAGAGCCGATGTACCAGAATCAAATTCCTCATGTGTCCGTCGCACCTGGCCAATAAAGCCGATTCTGATTCTGAAATGAAAAGCTGTGATCACAGCATGTATTTTACTCACAATATTACCAGTTCTGTTACCATTACCTTATACTGCATTGTCCTTATCTTGAGTATTTATGGCAGTAACAAATGAATGCACTCTCATCAACATTACTCCGAACTTTTCCACCAACTTCTTCAGGAACGTCTTGAATGTGTTAGTATTTATTCCCAGTCAGTCCTGTGTTTTATTGGCCAGAGATTAAAAAGGTAAAGTGTCTATGTGAATACATTAGGTGTATGTATTCAGTGGATAAAATGCTATTTTAAAACTGTGCTGCCGACTCTGGCAAGAGAACTCGAGTGAGGGAACAGGATGTGTTTATTCTTTTCTTCACTGCCCTGGCAAACAACTAATATGCTAATGTGAGCTCATGGAGTGCTGATAAAAGCAGAAAACACTTCTCATTTGTAACGTGTGTGTGTTTTATAACCCTCTGTTGCCCTTTGTTCCAGGCTTATATCTCAGAGGAGCAGCTGTGTCCGTGTCCATGTCTCTCCTCCATCTGTACACGACCCTCACAGCTCTTCGCTTCGATCTGTGAGAGCCAAGCCTTCGGGCTGTCTGGGAGTAGCTCACTTACTATAGTGTAGTGCTCTTTGCTTGGGACAACCAGCTAATCATGATGCAAAAGGTATGAGCATTGCCTTTATTACTTTCTTTATTTCTTTGTAGTCATTTTCTGCCCATTCATTCATCTCTTCCATTCATCACAAATCACAGCTTTGATTTATTAATAATTAATACACAATGGATGAATGTTCTTCTTTCACAGTCTTACAAGCAGATTTTTCTTTTAGTTTTGTGGTTGATGTTCAGCCTCTCCTGCAGCGCCTGGATCCAGTGGTGGCATTCCTACACAGCTATAGTTGATTTGTTTTAAATTATTGCTTTGTTGACTGACTGCTGAAGCATTCAGGTGGATTGTAGTGTGGTGAAACTGGCAGATGGAAGCTCCTTTGACTTTGCACATACAGTAAAAGGACTGATCCTTTAAAATAGCTTTTAATTTTTCAGGTCATGAATTCATTTCCTCAGTCCACGGAGCTGTATGAATTTTTGCTATGGCTGATCTTAGTTCCTTTCTTTTCATTTCCCCCCCTTCTTTAACCAAGGGTGAGCTCTGTTTTTTAAGATCAAATTTAAACACAGTGACATTTTGAAGCACTCTATCTGAACTGTTCGGAGGTTAATGCAAGAAAAAAACTGTCCAAACAAGGGCAGAAATGCAGGCTTGTCTTAAACCAACCAGCTTACAGCTATAAAATGATTCACAGTCCCCACGAAAATGTTTGTGCTTGTAAGGAAAGCTGCAAGATAGAGTTGTTTGTGCAGCTTCTCAGTCATCCAGGTCACAAAAACTTAAAAAAAACAACTGGACTATGTCTTCGACCTCAAAAACCTAGTCCAGTTGTTTTTTTTATTTAGTTTTTCCAGCAAGATAGAGTTGCAACAACAGCAGCTGCAAATCCTGTTACAGACCTGGAAATTTCCAGTTTAGATGTGAACCATGCAGACAATTATTCCAAAACCTTTAGTGACACAGTGCAGCCTGAGTCTCCACACAAACTGTTCTGTTCTGTCTTACATGAGGCACGTCAGCCTCTGTGCTTCAGCACACTGAATTTGAAATAAAATAATAAATCTAACAGTAAAGTCTCACTAATTTGAGCAAGTTTACATCAGTATAGAATCTGTAGTATCTTATTGCCACATTTGTTTTATATCTTACATGTTTTATGTGTTGCGTCCTGTGCTGCCTGTATGTTTCAGTGAGTTGAGCACAGTCTTACTCAGTTCAAACACCAGCAACCAAGCAGTACGGCTGGTATTACCAGCAAAGTATCTGGGAAATCTGAGTGAGATAAAGCTGGGAGCATGTTGACAAACACCGGTCACCATTTCTTTTCCCTGAGCTCTGAGATGTCCCAGTGGGAACTTCTGGAAACGGAACATATTTTTAAGAGATCTTTAATTCCAAGTACAGTAAAACATCTCAATGTCTGTGCTGTGTGTCAGGTGGTTTACCTGTAATATTTACTTGTGTGCTGTACTTTTGTTGTTGTTGTTGTTTTAGTGACCTAAGGACAATTTTCCACTCCTGTAGGCTGTGAGGTTGCATCTATTTTATTCAATTTTATACTTGAAACATAGAATTGAAATGTATGAGCATTCAAATTAAAAGCCTGGAAGACACTATGTGCCTCTCCTCTCCTCTCCTCTCCTCTCCTCTCCTCTCCTCTCCTCTCCTCTCCTCTCCTCTCCTCTCCTCTCCTCTCCTCTCCCTATGCTTCTATATGCCACCATTACACATTACTAACTTTGTGTCTCCTCTCTCCCATA